AATGGGGTGTCTTGCAGCTGTTGTCAATGATGGGGTGAATCCTGGGGGCTGTGGTTATGGGGAGAAACTTAGACTATCTAGAATGGCCCAGGTTTACATTCTGGCCCCTCCGTTTAGTTGTCGTGTTATTCTTCCCTTCTAAACTTTGGTTTTCTTTTCATCTGAAAAACAAGATAATCTTTCTGACCACAGAGATTTGTCGTGGAATTAAAAATGAGACAATGCTTGGGGGCGCCTGGGTGGCTTAGTCGGTTAAGCGTCTGGCTTCGGCTCAGGTCATGATCTCACGGTTGGTGACTTTGAGCCCCGCATCGGGCTCTGTGCTGACAGCTCAGAGCCTGCAGCCTGATTCAGACTCTGTGTCTCCCTCTCTCTCTCTGCTCCTCCCATGCTCATTCTCTCTCTTTCTCTGTCTCTCTCTCTCTCTCAAAAATTAATAAAAACATTTAAAAATTTTTTTTAAAAATGAGATGGTACTTATAATATGCTTCCTAAAATATTGCAAGTAGTAAGTCTTCAACAGACATTAATTTTTATTATTCTGTTTGTAAATGTGCAGAGATGTCCACGTATGGTGGAGAAGGTGGAAAGCAAACACATAAACCAGGTTACAGATAGTACCTGATCGCGAGGATGCCTCTGGCCGCAGGTAAAAGAGAACCCAGCTGAAGGGGACTTGTACAGTAGGGGCATTTATTATCCCACAGAACAGGAAGTCCTGGCTTGGTTAAGTTAACTGTCAATGACTGGATGGTTGCCATTAGTAGGTGGAAACAGGGAGTTCCCAATCAATGGGCATAAAGCTTCAGTTCCACAAGATGAGTAAGTTCTAGAGATCTGCTCACAACATTGTACCTATGGACAGCAATACTGTATTATTATACACTTAAAAATTCATTAAGAAGGTAGATTCCGTACTAAATGTTCTTACCACTGTAAAATAAAACTAAAATTAAAAATGAAGGAAGTTACCTAAGGGGGCCAACTCCCCCCCCCCCCAAAACAAAACAATAACAACAATAAAAAGCCAATAGCAATAACAACAAAAACCCAAAGGGCTTGGGCGTCTCTGGCATCTGGACAGTCACATCTACAAAAGTAATGTTTTTTTTCCAGATCATGTGATTCCAGACTAGCTATACCTTCTCCCTTTGTCAGTTCTGAGCAGTTAAGTTTCTGTGCCTGAAATGCTTCCATTCCTTTCTCCCTGCCCCCCAGCAAGTTAATGAGACCGTGTGGGAACATTGGGTGGGGTATGGAAGCCCACAGGTAAAGGCACAGTTGTGAATTACCAGCATCGCATTTGGAGCGGAGGAATTATATTGACAAAAAGTAAAATGCTGCTGATTGGAAGATAGACCGTCAAGTTAGCCACAGCTTTTTGAGACGAGAAAGCAGAAACATTAAATGTACACATCAATTTAAGACATCCTGATCTCAGAAATATAATAATGCGAGAAGGAAGTGCATCTTTTAGAATTGGAGAATTAGAATAAAAACCGTGGGGAATTGGAGAATTAGAATAAAAACCGTGGGGATGGGAATTTGGACAGATGAGAGAGGAAATGAACTCGGCATGCTAGGCAGGGTCAGTGAGATAAAGCACACTGATTGACACAAAGGTTCCATGAGGTTCTAACACTAGCCGGGCCTCGGGCTCCGCACTGAGTCATACCCTGCCCTCAAAGAGCTCACAGTCCGGAAGTGATAGTGATTCCTTACCTGGAAAACCTATTCCAACCTGGTGAGTGCTGGGATGAGGTATGCAAAGAGTGCTAGGTGAGCTCAGGTGAGCACTTACCTGGCGTGGGGGTGGGAGGGGGCGAGGAGAATTCCTAAAGGAAGGGGTACCTGTGGCGCATCTCCAAGGTTAAGAGGTGGACCAGGAGGAGAAACTGGGCCGGTATTGCGGAGAGGAGGACTGATCCAGCCAAAGGCTCACAGGCGGGAATGTGGCTGTTCATTCTTTCCAGGGAGGGCCATGGAGAGGGGGGCAGTGCCCCCACCACAGGCTGTTGGACAGGGGAACTGGGGCCGTACTTACCCTGAAAGCAATGAGAACCGACAGACAACAGACCGGCAGGGAACCTCATCACTTGACAGCCAGGGTGCAAAGAATGGGTGCAAAGCAGCTATTCTCAAAGTGGGGTCTGGGGACCCTGTGGGCTCCCGAGACCCTTCCAGGGAGTCTGAAAGGTCAAAAGTATTTTCTTCATAATACTCAGAATTTATTTGCCTTTTCCAGTCTCATTGTCTCAGGAGCGTACGTTTCAAGCTACATTAGGACACGCTGAATGCAGAAGCAGGAGTGAGCGTCCGGCTGTCTTCTGTTAAGACAGACGTCAAAGAGAGTAAGCAGAGAGGCAAAACGGTGCCCTTTTCTGCTTTGTGAAATATAGCTATTTTCAAAAAAGATACGTATGCTAAAATGTCATACGTTTATTATTTTTAAATGAATTAAGCTTATGTTAAAATATCTCAGTTTTAGTGTAGAAGAGAGTGAATATTGGTAGATATGATCCAATGAACGAAAAGCACCTCTATAAGAATGTCAGACTTTGAGAACCACTAGATGAAAGGTTAGCTTTCTGGGAGAGCCAGTTCTGGCGGGTGCCAGCAGGGGGAGGTGTCGGGTCCAGGCCCTTTGGGCCCAAGGGTGGGAGAAAGGCGGCAGGAGGGAGAGGAGGAGGGCCCAGCAGCCCAGGACACAACTTCGTTCGATAGTTTCTCCACTCTGTGTTCTAGACGTTAACAGGGACCGTTTCCTGCAGCCCGTGGCGCTGAATCTGACATTTGTGTTTTTCATCTCGCTGATCTTGGCAACATCACAAGGAAGGTGCCGGCAGGGTTCGGATTTTACAAATGAGGCAACTGAGGCCCAGAGAGGGAAAGTGGCCTCCCCCAGGATGCACAGCGAGGCAGCACACAGGGCCGGGCTTCAAGCCCAGGTCTCTCTGACTCCGTGGTTTGTGCGGGTCTCTCCCACAACCTGTCACCTTCATTGCTGGGTGGGTGTTGGAGGCCCCAGTCCCTGAGAGCTGTTCCAGGGCTGTGGGCCCCTGTCCCCCGGCTTCCTGCGGGGCGGTCTCAGATGGCGTCTGGAGAGCACCCTGACCACGGTTGGTGGCAGACTGTGGACGCTGGATCTGGCAAAGAGGCTCTTAGCCTCAGGAGGTTTTTGCCACTCGCGGGGGCTTCTGGGAGGAGATGTGCCGCCAGTGATGAGCTCATCCTTGGGCAGAACTAGCTGGCAGATGGGGGGGGGAGACTCGGCTTCAAGGCAGGCTGTCTGCTTTCAGCACATGGTGGAGCCCACCGCGCGTCTGTTACCTGCCAGGTGCTGACCTTGGTCCACCGACAGAGCACCGAAGAGGAGAGAAAGAACACCGAAGATTCATCCACCTTGTACGGTGCGGGCAGCACGCAAAGGTCGAAACTGCACTGGGCCTGTGGGGGGCTCTCCACCCAGAGGCCTGACCTGCCACTTGTCAGCCGTGTTACCTTGAGCGTGTGGCTTAACCCCTCTGTGCCTCAGTTTCCTGGGAGTAAAGTAGAGATGCAAGAACTCACCTTGTAGGGTTGGCGTGAAAATCAGGTGAGTCAGTACCCGTACAGCACTTAGGTCCTGGCCTGACGGCTAGAAAATACTGGACAAATTCACTTCCAACATTCGATTAAAGCACACAACATACGAAGATCAGTGTGTCTCATGAGAGCGCGTTAGCTGCTTAAGGCACGTCTTGCCACATCATTTTACCCGGAGGCCTGCGTGTTAGGTGTTTTATTATCGCCCCGGTGATTTTGAAACGTAAACTGAGGCTCAGAGAGGCCCAGTGACCTGTTCCAGGTGTAGCTGTCCAAGGCCATCTCTCCTATCAATTCCGACTGTAGGTAGCTAACTTTTCAAGGCCCGCTTCTGCGGCCGCCGTGACTTTGAACTTGCATTCTCCTTGCACGGAGAGGAGCTTCTTTGATGGAAGAGGCCTGCATGGAGTCGTGGTGGGCAGGGGGGTGGGGGAGGGAATCTTGTGAGAAAGTGGGAATTCGCTGACCTCGTCTTCGGGGACAAGCAAGAGGGGTCTGGAGGGGAGGCTCTTCACCTCAACGAGAGGCCCAAGATCCCAACCAGAGACGGCGGCCACGGCAATTCTGAGATTCCGCGGCTCCGCTCATTTTCCGGGGCTTTCTTTTCAGTGTCTCCCTGCTCTTCCTGCTCCTGAATAACCACGGTTAATTTCGCGGAGCCCCTCCTTCCGGGAGCAGGGCCCTGCAGTTTGCCTGTATTTCTGCGGAGCAGGGCCCTGCAGTTTGCCTGTATTTCTGCCGCAAGGAACCCAGGAGGTCATGCTAAGGAGAGTGCTCTATGCCCCCCTGAGCCCACCCTGCCAGGCCCCCTGTTCCAAGTGTCCTCACTCGCTCCAATCTCAGAAGAGCCTTGAGGGGTGGGAACTGTTAGGGTGCCCATCTTACAGATGAGGAGCTCCAGGCTTGGAGACAGGTGGGACGGTGCCCAAAACACCTAGCCGGCGAGCGTCAGTGACAGAACAGCGTCAGAGACAAGATCTATTTCTGGACCCCGCCATTAAGGTACAGGCTGGGACAGAAAAGCCCTTTCGCCTTCCCTCAGTGGGAACAGTTTTGCTACAACAGAATTCCTCTGGGGTGGAGGGCCCTGGGGGCTGGGGCAGGAGCCGGTAGGGTGGCAACTCACCCGCGGCTTTGTGCCTCCCTGTGCAGAACAAGGACGTCTTAAGTGGTGACAAGCCACCCTCGGTGGGCCTCGAGACTGGATCACAGGCCAGAGCTGAAGGCGGGTGTTCGCCAAAGGGCACGGGCATCAGTGTGTTTGCTGTGTGCAGAGGGGACATTGAAGGAACACAAGGCTTCCTCGGCTGGTATTTACTCTGGAATTATTGACTGTTGACTTTGGAGCCAAGGCTTGCGAGGCTCCAGCTGTGCTCCTAGACTCTTAAAGGGATAGGAGGGGTTTTTTCTTCGTGATGGAGGTAGGGGGTAGAGTGTTGGCGTGTGTGTGCCTGCTTGTGCTGACTGCGCAGGAAGACGGGCACCTTCCGTGCCTCTGGAAGATACTGCCTCCTGCTTTAAACAGGGCACACCTTCAGAGGGGGCTTAACGTTAACCAACCCCATTGCTCTGGGGACCAGTGTGTTGAAAATGGCCAGAAGCACACTCCTGCCAGCCGTTTCCACCTCCTCCCTCCCGTCTCAGCTCAGGTGTGCCCTCCTCCAGGAAGTCTTCTCCAATGGCCTAGGCCAGGTGGAGGCTTCCCTCCTACGTTTTGCTGCACCCTGCGTGGCCGAGTTCTCACCCTCGCTGTACTTTATTGAAGCCTTTGGTTTACACGGCTGCCTCCCGCAGGCTTCTCAGACCAGGGACTCAGAGCTCAATAAATATTTGCGGCCTAAATTTGACAACCCGAGGAGGTAGGCTATTAGTCCCATTGAGAGCAAGGAGAGAGCTTCTGAGAATAAGTCACTCACCCAAGTTATTAAGTGTTTGCGTTGAGACTCGGACTCATTTCCAGTAGGTCACATTGGCTAAAGGCTCCAGAGGAACAAGGAAGCCCAGCAAGTGGCCTGTGACACGGCCGGTCAGCAAGTGTGACTTGGGTGCCTACTGAGAGCCCTTGTGTCCTGAGCGAGACAAGGAGGGTGCTTCCTGCCCTCAAGGAGAGTCCGACTGAAGAGAAGGCTCGGGTGTGAGCTGACCTTGCAGGGCAGTGGTGGGGAGTAGCCGGGGTCGGGCACGGAAAGTGCTCTGTGTGGCTCCTGGCACGTTAAGTGTTCCAGAAATGCTGCCTCTTATTACTAACACAGTTATCATTTCTAGCGGTACCAGTAAGAAGGGCATTCCCGGCAGTGGGCTTTGCTCCTCGGCGTCCGCCCCGACTCGGAGTGGGTGGTTCCCCACCTTGCCAGCTGTGTAACCGGATCCCCTATTGCTGTGCCGCTGAATTCGGCCAAGCACCCTTGCTCTCCTCTTCCTATTGATTGGGGCTGTTTGAGGCCAAAGAGAAAGCACAGGGCTCTAATGGCAGAGAGAGCTTGCCAGAGGGAGCAGGCTAGCGGCTTACAGACAACTGCCCCTCCCACGGAGGGGCCATGGGCCCACGGGAGTCACTGGGGACGCACTGCTCCAGGTAGGCATCAGGAGAGCATTGCAGGACACCCTTACTGGCGTCTGCTTCTTCTTCGGGGTCAGGTTTCTGCAAGACTCATTCATTCACTCATTCACCCATCTGTTCATTCATTCATGCACGCATGCGTGCTGTGAGTTATTTATTAAGTGCCTACTGTGTGTAGCTCATTGAAGCTTGGTGAGCTTGGAGGTCCAAACCACTGGCGATCATGAATAGTGGAGGGTGCCCATGTGGAGCGCTGGCAGAGTCAGGAGCACAGACTCAGCCAGGAGTCAGACGAGACTTCAGCAGGGCCCAGAATGGGGGAGCGGGCGGTGATGGGCTGGGTCGGCCGAGGAAACAGAGCAGCTCAGGGAAGGCCTGCGGTTGGGAAAGCACAGAGCCATGCTAGGGTGAGGGAGGTGATAATAGTGACGATGGCAACAGTGAACATTGATCGAGAGCCTGGTCATACTTCCCGCCTTCCTGAACACCGTGTGCGTGGCATCTCAAGGAGTGTCAAGTGCTGTGTGTGGATATGATTATAGGAGCTCGTTTCTAGGGTTGAGACGTCTGGGTGTGAGTCCTAGCCCCACCCCTGTTCGCTGTGGGATCATGGACAAGTGACTGAGCCTTACTGAGCCACAGTTCCCTCGTCTTTGAAAACTGACAATACAGTCGTGTATCTATGTCAGAATGGACTCATATATATTTTATACTTCGGGTTATAGTCTTATTCTTCATTATTTATTTTGTTGCTCAGATTGCCACAGCTTTGGCCAGTTTCCAGGTGGGTCCTGTGTCCCTCTGACATACTTCCATTGATGTGTGTGTGTGTGTGTGTGTGCGCGCGCGCGCACGTCTTTACTTTCTAGTGCTAGGTGTTTCTCCAGACTCATCCCATATAGTCGCTGCCACAGGCTTAGAATCAGCCATTTTTCAAAAGATCTCTGGTTTCTTTTACTGGACAATGGTATTCACAATCAAAATCTGGCTGGTGCTGAGCTCATTATTATTGGGGTATTGTTGCTTCTGGACAAATCTCCAGAGCAGAACAACTCCAAGTAATCTACCCAGAGAATCCTCTTCCAGGAGGTAGAGCCCTGCTCCCCACCCCCAAAGTGTGGGCTGCACACAGTGACTTCCTTCCAATTAGTCCAGTATGTAAAGAGGGAAAGCGAGGGCCGGATTTTCAGTGGCAAAACGTGACACACATGATCTCAGCCAGGTGGTCAAGACCAACACGTGATATTGGCAGTGTATACCCTTGATAGGATGTGATGAGAATGGCCCTCTACCTGCGCCCCAAAACCCGTGACTCCAGTCTGCTCAAGAGAAGAACACCTTAGAAACCCCAAATGGGAGACACTCAACAAAATAGCTGACCGGTTACCCCCTCAAAACTGCCAAGGGCATCAACAACAAGCAAAGCCTGATAAACTGTCACAGTCCAGAGAAGCCTAAGGAACATAATAAAATACGATGTGGTATTCTGAATGGGATCCCGAGGCAACAACCCCCAAAAAGGACAGTGTGGGGGGGGAAATGGTGATACCTGAATTAAATAGGACTTATTTAATTAGGAATGTATCAATATGAGTTCATTACTTGTGATAAGAGCACCATGGTGACATAGGATGTCAACAATATGGAGATTGGCTGTGGGTCTGTAGGCTCTCTACTCTTTTCACGACCTTTCTGCAAATCTAAGTTTCCTAAACTAAAAAAATTATTTTAAAATGTAGGTAATGTTGTTATTACCAAGTAAGGGTCTTGTGAAAAAGAAATGAGACACTATAAACCCAACACGGAGTAACCCGTCTGTTCATGTGTGTTTTTAGCGTCATTATTGCCACTCAGTCCTTGCTAATCCCTGATGAAGGTGGCCGATGCCTCATGATGACCCTTTGAAAGAGGTGGTACCCCATATTCCTTATGCAAACTCAAGGTTCACGTACTTGAATGTCCCTATTTTTCAAGATGCACCTACTGTGTACCTAGCAGTGTGCTCTCTTTCTCTGGGAGTGGCACATTCTGATTCTTAAATACGTCTTGGAGGGGCAGAGCTGCTGGGAACCATGTCGTTGCGACAGAACATGGTGACGTGTGTGTATATTTCCTTCTGACAAGTGATCTGGGGAAGACATGTTGGCAGAAGGTACAAGGTGACCCCACAGCACGAGGTCTACCAGAAATAGTTGTGAAACTCAGAGACTGCACTGCCTCCAACTAATCCCAGTGATGCTTCTTGTTTGTTTGATGTTATCATTGAGTTTTGGCCGTCAGGCACTAGAGGTTGAAGAAACATACGTGGCAGAAATTGTTTTCGAGTTGAAAAAAAAAAATCCACCCAGTAGCTTAACTGTGCAAAATTAGGACAAAGCCATCCTTGTTCCTTTTTTCTAGGTTTGGAGGTCTTGAGTGGAGACGCTGTATCTGATTTTTTCAGGTATTGCCAACAGGCTTAATAAATGTTGAGTGAATGAATGACTAAATAAATGTGAAAATGACTTCATTTATTAGTCCAGCTCTTTAAACACCAGTGTGCTGTTGGAGTTTAATTTAAGAGCTTATTCTCCGGGGTAAATGGAGGGTCTCGTAATCTTTCCGGAGAAGGAAAAAAATACCAATACAGGAAATAATTGCAGATGAGTGTGCAGGAGAAAATAATGATATGAAGTTGCCTCTCAACCTTAGAGGTTGATTGGGAGGATAAGTCTGCAGGCTTTTGTGGCCTCAGGCTCAGAGTTCTCTGCATGTATAATGTTTGATGTTGGTTTCTTATGATTGTGCCTTTGATGTACTGCTTCCTTTTTTTTTTTTTTTTTTTTTTTTTATCCTCACAACATCTTCCCCTGGACTAATTCCTAGTCATCCTTTAGGATGTTCAGTTCCGAAAGAAAAAGGAGGAGAACTTCCAAATTCTTTTTATAAAGCAGTCATAACAACGGTGCCAAAACATATTGAAGGCTGCATAGAAACAGAAAACTGTAGGCCAAATTCCACTTACGAATATCAAGCAAATATTCTAAATAAAATATCAGCAGAGTTCAGCAGTACATTAAGAGATCCCATGATCAAGTGGAATTTGTTCTGGGATGTAACATTAAGAAATCTATAACAGTTTTCATTGTAGCAAATTGATCTGAGGAGAACAGGCAGAGGATCATCTTGATAGATGCTGAAAATGCATTTGGCAAAATTCAACATACATTTCCTGAAAACTTTCTTAGTAAAATTAGAATTGATGTATTTTTTTTTTTTTACCTGATAAAAAAGACCTATCTTAATTCAAAAAGCTAGCATTACACCTACTGAGAAAACATTGGAACGTTCAGAGTCATGACATGTGAAGGCAAGAACATTCACTGTTAATGCTGTTATTTAACATTGTACTAGAGACTCTAGCCAATGTGATTAGACAAGAGAAAGGAATTGGAAGTATGAAAATTTTTTTTAAAAAGGTAAAATTATTGCTATTTTCAGATAACATGATTAATACCTGAAACATGAAAGAATAAAGTTAAATATGCTACAAGAGATTCAGTAAGGTGGGAGGGCAAAAATTAATACACGGAAATCAATATGAAAATGAAAATGAGACCACAAACCTATGTACCATAGCAATAAAAAAAAAAGATAAAATATCTAAGGATAAACTTAACAAGGAACGTGCAAGAGTTACATGAAAAGAACTTTACTCTGAAGGTAATCAACAAAAGCCCCAAACAAATGGGAGGGTTTGGCATGCTTTGGAATTAAAAAGCCTTTACATAAAGATGTCAATTTTGCCTGTGTTCATCTATAAAATTAACTTAATCTCAATGTAAATATTTTGTTCTTAATTCTGTTTACATGTTTTACTAGCATTTACTTTCTTAATCCAATAACAAACCATGACACAAAGAACGTCATTACCAACATGTCTATTCTATAGCTGAGGAAACTGAGTCACATAGAGGTTGAGTAACGTGCTCAAGGTCATACTCAGCTATAAAATGGTAGAGCCAGCCTGAAAACCCAGGGAGTTCACCTCTGGCTCTCCCCCACTTCAACCATGGTGCTACATCATGAAATGATAGGAAACAAATACTGTGATTGGAAAAGCACACACGAGCACCCAACTCATTGTCTTTCTTTTTTTTTTCAACGTTTATTTATTTTTGGGACAGAGAGAGACAGAGCATGAATGGGGGAGGGGCAG